ATAAGTAAGTTTGAGCGACGCCAAAGTGACCTTGAGGATATCCACCTACTAACTAGGATTAAATGAAGGTTGTAAACCAGTATGAGTAATATGAATTATGATTTACAGTTGACGGTTACGGTTAGGAATTAGATTTAGCGTTTTTATCACGAACTGATATCAACTAAAATGTCAAAACGTTATTCAGCCAACTGGATGAATAAATTTCGCGCCAAAATCCAGAACCGGTTATCTTATATTTGATTAATTCATCCATTAATTATAGTCTCATCGAGTTTTGTCCAATGAAATATCATATGACTATTCTGAATAGATTGTCTCTAGTTAAAATGATAATTTTGATTGACTCCTTTTCTTTGAAATGTCATATCAGGTGACATTTATAACTTTGATAATTTTTGTTTTATTATGAAAATTATCAATCTCTTTAATTAGGCCTATTTTGTTTTAAATTGCAAGAAACACTTTATGTTGTTTGGTAATGTTACACCGCTTTACAAACTAAATCCATAGATTGTTTACTGTTGTAATTTGAGATTATTGTAAAGAAAGAATGAGATTCAAATCGATAAATGAAACGATGTCGGTCAAGTGATGGCTGCTAAACAGACTAACTTATTGAAGTAAGCTCCCGAACGGTTTGAGGTTTTAGGATGAGACTATTTCACTAATGACAAAGAGTTATGGATGCTGTAACTGGGATTTCTGTGTGCTGAATCGCTTCATAGAATGTATAAGATTGCCTAAGTAATTTGATGAAAGAGATTAGATTCAGTTTGGGCATCCTCTTCCATTAAGGGTCTAGTCCAAGTTTATTAAGTCTGGACTTATAATTCGAAGTGTAAATCATTAGTGAACGGATTTCGAACCTTAATTTATCATTAGTAAGTCCATTATAATGAATACCGTTGAATTGTAGTTTCGGTTCTGCCAGATGAATAAATTGAGAATGGATTGAAACACACAGATAATGTTATTATTGTACTTTAAATGTTTACAGTAATATTCTCACTGCACTTTCTATTTATTGTATAATGAGTACTGAACTAAATTTTTGATATGTATTTGATCTTATTTCGTTTATCCAAGATATTTTGTTTGTTATTGATTGTATGTACTTTCACTAACTTTTTAGTTTTATAGGTTAATGATGGAATAGAATGTAATTCTCAATGACTGAACGATTAAAATCGTATAGGCGTAAGTGTATAGGCGTTATAGTGTGAAAATTTCATAATGACACCGTTACACTACTTATAAGTACTTGTTTAAAGAATGACATTTTGGTAAAATGGTTCGTAACATAAATTTATTAACAGAGATCTATATTCAAACCCAAGACCTATCAGTCTCGCGCGCGAACACTTAACCTTTAGACCACTGAGCCGATTGGCATCCAACAGTGTTAATGTCTAACTTCGACCAATCGTGGATGAGCACTGCTAAGGAGTCCCATACTAGGATGAAACGGCTGTGCAATGCTTCCAGGTTTTCCATAGTGGTCTAACTTCAATTGACTCATGAATTCAATTGTTAAATTACTACATTCTCCACAAAACCCCTCTCTGGTTAGAATTCTATATATGTATTGCATAGAATAAAAAAAACCATTCATCAGCTAATCGAAATAAACCATCAACAATTACGTAATTTGCAGATAGAAATAATTAGTACTCTTCTCAAAATAATTTATACGAATATTCGTCAATATTAGAATGAATAGTTTCGTAAAAATTAGGCACCGAGTATAAAGAAGCCATTATATATGAAAATTATGTTTGAAATGATCTCAGCGATTGAAATTTAACCGATTCCAACGTTTCATCCAGCAAACGTGTCTGGACTTCCTCAGACTAATAGTCGAAATCAAGAAGTCCAGACACGTTTGCTGGACGAAACGTGGGAATTGTTTAAATTCCAATCGCTGAAATTATTTCAAATATAATTTTCACATATAATATTTTTACAAAATAATCTAGAATTATCAAGGTCATCACCTTGATGATGAGTTATTTCTTTAGTCTCATAACAATAACTTTCAAAGTTAACCAAAAACTCTAGTTTAAAATATTTTTAGCATCTAAAATATGAATGATGGCTAACAGTGGAATCTAGGACGTGCGAAATGTTCTATTTAGGACTCGTCAGTTGAATGAATTTCCCTCTCAAAGTTAATGTTCACTCTGGAACTCAAACTCATTACCGTTCACTTAAAACTCCATCACGCTATCCACTTAGCTACTGAATTCTAATGGTCACTAGCTTATGTAATAAGAGACTGATCAATTACAGTCCTAAACATCAATGGGAAGATTCAAACAAACAATACAAAATGAAAAAAAGCCAGAAAGTTTGTAAATTTTGCAAAATACATTCACAACATGATTAAACATCAGTTCATTGTTAAATATAAGAGAGTCAATTGATACGCTTCACTACAATGACAATACCTTCACTGATTAATAGAAATGTTGTTACTATAAGGAATTCTCAACATTATTTATGCAATATTACGAGAAATTTCTCTTTAACCTACATTCATATTGTGACTATTCAAAATATACTTTTGGTTTATCTTCAATGAAGAAAGTTCGTAGTCAGTTTCTGTTCTTTGACCACATTTTTACCACTCATCAGATATTAAATAGATATAATCCGATAAATTTTTCTTTCACTTTTTCAAAGGTTAAACAAGAAGGAAAATATCCCAACAAGTGCAGTGTTTCGTTATGAGATTTTCAGTATTCAGAATTATGATAGATTTTAAGCCTTGGATGGTACCGCGTAAGTACACATATACAGGTATCATAGTTGTTCGCTTTAGATAAATCTTAAACAAGACGGTTTACTGTATAATAACACAGGTAAAACAATAGGTGACCAAAACGTTTGAGCAGGCTTCCGTGAGTTCACTTAACCTTGTGAGTATAATATTTACGTTCGAAACATTTGTAGAAAAATCAGTATTATAATTGTTCATAATGAATATACTGTTATCAGGTATATTTCTGAATAAATCTATTCTATTTTCATCGAGCTTATGAACCAATCAATATTAGACTACCACTGAAATCTTAGAAGCACTGGACAACCATTCTGTTCTAGTATGGTACTCCTCAGCAGTACGCATCTACGATCCCGTACAAAGGACTCAAACTCAGGACCTTTGATCTGGCACACGAACACTTCACCTCTAGACCACTGAGCTGGGAGCTAATTGTGTTAATGTCTAACTTCTATTTTTGTCATTTTATAAGACTATATGCAATTATACTATTTTACCATTCTATATTAAAATTCGATTTGCTGTATTGTTATCTTATTGTTTACTATAAACATATAAAACCACTATTCATGTACAATATATAAGTTAATAAAGCTTCATTTGACTCATGATTTCAACCTGTGAAATTTCTAAAAATCTCCACAAAACCCATTCTGATAATAATCATCTGCTCACTAGTGACTTCAAGAGATACTCCTGGAGTTCTAGTGAGAAGTCGTTACCAGTGGAGTTCAACCAGGTCTGTTGTGAGATATCAGCTCACTGAAGACAGTTGTATACGGTGGCGCAACTTCGTGAATTGGTTGAAGTTAGAAATCAACACCGTTGGATGCCGACTCAGTGGTCTAGTGGTTAGGCGCCCGTGCGCGGAACCAGCGGGTCCCGGGTTCGAATCCCACGGGGTGCGGGATTTCGGATGCGCACTGCTGAGGAGTCCCATACTAGAACGAAACGGCCGTCCAGTGCTTCCAGGTTTTCCATGGTGGTCTAGCTTCAATTGACTCATGATTTCAACCTGTGAAGTAAATTTTCTATTTATCAAAATAATTTCATTATTTACTTAAGCCCCCCACCCAGTTAATTTATGTATTATTCGAAAGGATTACAGTGAGTTGTCAATCCAAATAAAGATTGTAAACAAGTCAATGATAATATCTTTCAATGGTACGTCCAGAACATAAAAAGAAATAAAAACAAACAAAACAATTATCACTTAGATCAAACTTATGAAATAAATTAACTTATGTATAGTTTGTGTGTGTGTGGGTGTGTGTATACGTGTGTTAGTATCAACGTTATTTTCCCAACAAAGATTACATTAAATAATAATAATCAACAAAGTTCAAGTTGCATTGAATGTTTATCTATTCAACTGAATGTTTTGTGTTTTTACTTTTATTAATGGTGTGAAATACCCTCAGTATTTTATGCTTTTCTCAATAAATTTCTTGTTTTTTTTCCTTTTTACCACACACAGTGTTAGTTACTGGGTACTTTTGTAAATTTATATCTATACATAATGAATAAGGTGAAAACAAAATTTACAAATGAAAAAAAAACAATTTATTAATAACCGAATTACGGTAGTTACTAGAACTTGTCCAGTCTTAATCATTCTCTCTCCCTTAACTCTATCCCTCTATTTATAAATACATGCATATACATAACTATACGCTTTAGAACATCAACTGTAGGCAAACACACACAAACGTAACACATGTATATATATATATATATATATATATATATATATATATATATATATATATATATATATATATATACATCGACATGTTCAATGAATACATGTTTACTTTTTTGTATGCCAGCAATAGTAATGCTTAGATCTACACCAGAAATATACATATATATATATATATATATATATATATATATATATATATATATATATTCGAATGCATCATAATGAAGCATGATAATGGACAAAAAGCAAATATAAGATACTTATACAAGAGTCTATACAGAAAAAGAAAAACCATACAAAATCCATTGTTATGAGTGATATGAATGTACCATTTGATTCAGATAAATTAAAACAAAAGAAAAACAACTAACCTCATTCACTTCATTCATTGAAATGAATAAATATCATTGGTAACTTGATATGTTGTCAATGAGTTTCTTTTGTTGTTGTTAGTTTCTTTATTCTATTGACAAGATATAAACAATTTATAATATTCAATTACTAAACATTATGATTCATTATCATAATCTAATATATATATATCAAAATAGTCAATCTAACAAGTATTCATTATGTAATTATTATCTTATATGGTATTTTATATTATCTTATATATTTGCAATTCCATTCCATAGAATGCATTCAGAGATTACAGTCAGTTTACCGGATACTTATATATCACATATAAATACAAATAATAATTATTATTTAAAAGATTATCATATCATCAATATTAAACATTTGAATAAACAAAATACAAATTTATCATTGAATAATCAAATTAAGAATATAATGGATAATTCTAATTTAACTAGAATAAAAGAGCATAAACAATATCATAGACAACAATTATATCAACCGACAGAAGCTTTACACTTTCATTCAGGTTCATATGTAATGAACAATCCTTTACATGTTAGTTCACAGAATCAATATTTAAATGAATTGGAACAATATTATCCAAATGTTTGGTTTCAACAAAGAAAATATTTGACAACATCTAAATATCGTTCCGATTTATGGACTACATTACACGTCGAGAATTGTTGTAAGTTTCGATATTATTTATAGGACTATCTATCTATCTATCTATCTATCTATCTATCTATCTATCTATCTATCTATCTATCTATCTATCTATCTATCTATCTATCTATCTATCTATCTATCTATCTATCTATCTATCTATCTATCTATCTATCTATCTATCTATCTATCTATCTATCTATCTATCTATCTATCTATCTATCTATCTATCTATCTATCTATCTATCTATCTATCTATCTATCTATCTATCTATCTATCTATCTATCTATCTATCTATCTATCTATCTATCTATCTATCTATCTATCTATCTATCTATCTATCTATCTATCTATCTATCTATCTATCTATCTATCTATCTATCTATCTATCTATCTATCTATCTATCTATCTATCTATCTATCTATCTATCTATCTATCTATCTATCTATCTATCTATCTATCTATCTATCTATCTATCTATCTATCTATCTATCTATCTATCTATCTATCTATCTATCTATCTATCTATCTATCTATCTATCTATCTATCTATCTATCTATCTATCTATCTATCTATCTATCTATCTATCTATCTATCTATCTATCTATCTATCTATCTATCTACCTATCTATCTATCTATCTATCTATCTATCTATCTATCTATCTATCTATCTATCTATCTATCTATCTATCTATCTATCTATCTATCTATCTATCTATCTATCTATCTATCTATCTATCTATCTATCTATCTATCTATCTATCTATCTATCTATCTATCTATCTATCTATCTATCTATCTATCTATCTATCTATCTATCTATCTATCTATCTATCTATCTATCTATCTATCTATCTATCTATCTATCTATCTATCTATCTATCTATCTATCTATCTATCTATCTATCTATCTATCTATCTATCTATCTACCTATCTATCTATCTATCTATCTATCTATCTATCTATATATATATATATATATATATATATATATATATATATATATATATATATATATATATATATATATACATGTTACAGAATATTAAAAAGTTTGTTTTATCTGACAAAAACACGTATTTATCTACATTTCATTTTCAACATTTTTTGTACTCAAGCATAATGCTCATGATAAAACTAAGTTTCTTGATACGTTCATTTGCTTTACTCACATATTTAGTGAGACATTTGAATTTGAGGGTAGAAGAATACAAACCTTACTTGAAGCACATTCTTAAATTCTCAGATAATAGAAAAACGGCTCTAAAGCAAATCAACAATAGCATTACACACAATAGAATCGGGTCATACAATTGATTTAAATAACACAAAATTCCTTCAAAAAGGTTTTAATTCCCACAAAGAATGATTATCAGCCGAAGCCCTACACATATGGACAAATCCATACAGTATTAATGGGAAAAATGGAGTACAATTAGCTGCCCCATGACAACTAATAATTAATAAATAAACCTGAACTCCTTATTTTATTTAATTTATCACTTAATATTTGAATAAAAAGAAATACATCCAACTTTTCTAGTCAGTTGACTTATCTGAATATAATGAACAATTAACGGGAATAATAAAACTAAAACAATCATTCATTTATTTTTATTTTAATAGTTGAATCTACGAATAGATCTGAGCTAGACCGCCATCGAAAACCTGGAAAGACTGTAGAGCCATTCTGATAATAATTAGTTACTCACTAATGACCAGCTTCAAGTTGAATTTCCTAGAGTTATGGTGAGAAGCCATCCAATCCGTGTTGGGGAGAGACAGGTATGAATGGTTGCGTAGCCATCAATGGATCGATGGAAGTTAGATATTATCATCAATGGTTTCCGGCTCAGTAGTCTAGAGGTTGAGCGTTCTCGCGTGAAACCGAAGGTCTTTAGTTCGAGTCCCTAGTGTGGGTTCATGGATGTGCGCTCCTGAGGAGTCTCATACTAGGGCGAAAAGGCCATACAGTGCTTTCAGGTTTTCAATGGCGGTTTAGCTTAAAATCGACTAACGGGTCAACTATTAGAATTACTACAATCTCTACAAATCCCTATTCCGACATTTTTATTTTGCTTTTATTTATCTTTATTTACGCATGCTGTGACATATTTGATTCATTCATTAAAAATTCACCGATGAGAAGTGATGAACAGTGAATGAAACGCTGGATTTACTTTGAATTTATTCTCTGCTATTTTACAAATACACTTTTCCTCCTTAATGTCTTACATCAACTCTGCGCCAAATACTGTAAAATTATTCGAACAAATTTAGACGGAAGTTCTTATATAATAATTTTATTGCTGGGAACGAGCGTGTTTGGAGTAATTTCCAAAATGTGTTTTAAACTGTTTGATTTAAGTACATTATTTTCAGTAATACCTTTTGCAACAATCTCTGTATTAAACGCTTTTACTAACTAACTAGTATAGCAACATTAGTAGTAAAGCGTTATCCGTAGAAGTTTGTTGTAACATAGAATATCTGATCTCAAATCTGATTGAAAAATAAGCGAGTGGGAACGTTATGATCGCTTTTAATTAGGCTTAACATCAGTTGAGACACAGTGTAAATGTAGAATTCGATGGATAGCTATTTTGTCTATATTTGGAATTCCTCAACTGTCTTCTTTTAACCTCTTCCATCAACCGTACGTAGCATTACAGTAGGCTCCTTAAGTTTTGATTGTCATGTTGAAACGTGCTTGCTTTACATTCTCAATACCAATCAATTCATGATAAAGAGCAAAAGTCACAGTGTGTCATCAGTGATACCCATCTCATTCTCCACTAAACAGAATGCCTCAGTTCTTGACTTCTTACTGGAACCTCAGAAAATCGTTTCAGTCCAAGTCATTAGCAAGCATACCATCATAATATGATTGAAAGGTTTTGTCTACATCAATTTAAATTTGTAAGTATATATTGTTTAACAGTCCTGAACTACGACGAAACAGCCCCATAGTGCTTTTTATAGGGTGGTACTCTTACATATATCCTTCAGTAATGAAAATCACCCTATGGATTGAAACTAACATTTACAACACACTGAACCATAAATTGAAAACTATGTTTTAAAAAATATCATTTTTGATTGATTGATTGTTTAAAATATCCCCCTTACAATGTTCATTTCAGTTTCAAAAGAATTAAACTTGTATCGGCAAATTACGTTACAGATACAAATGTTTCTTCAACAACACTGGTTTATTTTCTCTGGGCCTTACAGTAAAATTAATTAACAATCGTTGAAACCTTTCAGGAGTCTTAAAAGTTGAATAAATATTGTTTAATTGAAATTATTTACCGGTAGCCCTATCAAATTTCCCCCCATCTTTTGTATTATGGTATGTGATTATATAGTTTACTTAGTAACAAAACAGCTAAAAAAAAGTACAAAATTTGTAGATTTAAATTACGGTTTTTGTTTGACTTGAAAAGCTATTGATTAGTCGAGCATTTAGGATAAGTTTACGTTTGTAGTTATACAATCATCTCCTTGGAGTTATGAAATTCGATTGATGATCTTTAACTGATAAAATACAATTTTGTTAAAGACGAGACAGTTATCATTAGCACTATTAGTTTATAACTAGTGTGTCATAGTGAGATTGAAAATGAAATTTGAAATCACAGAAATTCGACCTGACGATATCAGGATATCATATCCCACGAGCGACCTGAAAGTTCCACGTTCACTGCTTGGTGAGGTCATGGATATTCACTCCTGAGAAAGCCCGATTTATGATCAGATACATATCTAATTGTCTATTATATTCAATTATTATCTAGATGATGTCATCCAGTAATAAAAAAGTATTGTTATGTATATATCAATTTATTCTATATGATATTTGAAGTAATGAAAATCTCATTTCAAAATGTAATTGATAAAACAAACATCAGTAATGGAAATACAATCATGGAATTCAATCATAAAACAGATAGATTGCATTAATTATACAAGTATATCAGTAATATATTCATTTCAGTCAATTAAATACTGATTATTCTAGTTATACATGATCAAGGGTGAAAAGTGTAAACTATAAACAGGATTAAATTCACTTGATATTGTTTGGCTTGTATCTTCCCATTGATGTTCAGGACTGCAATTGACCAGTCTCTTATTGGCATATGTGCATAATATGCGTATTGCCTCGATATAGTTTTATATAGCATTATATACAAAGATGGATAGTAGTTAGCAGCGGAATCCAGGACTCACGTTTCGTCCTATTCGGGACTCGTCAGCTGGACGTGCCTACAATATAAATAAGATTATTACTTGTTTATGATCCCTAAAGTACTTTTTATAGTAAATTTTCAAAATTTTTTACCGAATTATAAATAAATATAATATGTAAGCTGACGAGTCCCAAACAGGACGAAACGCGCGCCCTGGATTCCAGTGCTAGCCACTATCCATTTTTGCTTATAATGCTTGTAAATTAAGGCAATATCGAGGCATACACACAGCATGCACATATACCAATAAGAGACTGATCAATTTCAGTCCTAAAACATCAATGGAAAGATTCAAGTAAAACAATACCAAGTGAATTAAATACAGTATAGTTGTAGATATTCTAATGAGTAGAAAAATTAGATTTTCTGACGTTTCGCAACTCAGCGTAAGACACTTCTTCAGAGAATAAATCATCAATCAGAAGTGGCTTACACTTAGTTCTTCTACTCATTAGGATAACTAAAATTATATTATTTCTATTTATAACAATCTACCCAATGTTCAATTTATTCGAAATTATCAAGTTATACCTTGGCAATGATACCTACCAACTTTCTATTGAATTACTTTAGTCATTCTTTATTGAATATTATGATAAATAACCTTTTCAAGAGGATAATTAAAGTGACATGTTAGAGCAATATAGAAATATTACCTAGTAACACTGTATTAACTGATTATATCTTAACTAGTTTAAATGAAGTAATACATTTTTAAATTATTCAACATGTGGTTCTTTTATTAATCAGATTAAGTTTAATGC